CACAAAATACAGTTTAGAAACTCCACCCTGGTTGCCGTTCCACCTGTGACCCACCAGCAGCCGCTCAGCAGCTACTGTTCTCTGCATTCCTGGAAGCCATGCTCAGGACAGACCCCTCAGCACAGACCAGGCAGAACCACAGAGGGAAGAGTAGCACTGCAGGAGAACTACCCCAACCTTCTGGATCCCCATTCTAAGGAATAGCAGCATCTCATTTCCACTGTAATGATAAGATAAATTTAATTTGACCATTTGTCAGAGTTTAGTTTTTGAAAAACTGTGTGTGGAATCCCTGGGTGGTACAGTTAATGCTCTCGGCTGCTAACCGAAAGGTTGGCGGTTCGAGTCCACCCATTGAAAACCCTGGGCAGCACAGTTCTTCTCTGACAGACGTGGGGTCGTCATGAGTCAGAGTTGACTGGATGACAAGTGGTAACTGGTTGTGTGTGAAGTCAAAAAGCTCATAATGAGCTGCTTCAGAAAACAGGCTGACCTTGGAGAGCAGAGTGCCCTGGAGCGTGACACAGGTGTGGGGCAGGGCTCTATTTGATACAGCTAATTATTCTCTCTTGCTAGAATATGGACGGAGCCTTGAGGATGACATTTGCTCTGACACATCGTTCATGTTCCAGCGAGTGCTTGTATCTCTGTCAGCTGTGAGTTGTGTCCTCTGTTGGCTGTTTCTGGGGGGAGGGAGGGCTTATTGAGATGCCCACTCTCTATCCCCTCTGCAGACTTTCTCATCCTTTCAGCCCCAAATGTGAACATTCCCCAGGGTCTTGTTCTTGGGCCTACTGTTCTATTCTCCATCGCTCCCACAAAGACTCTGGCCAGTTATGTATGCCCGTTTGTTCTAATTGAATTCAAGAAATATTTACAAGTACCTAATACATGCTAGAAACCCTGGTGGTGTAGTGGTTAAGAGCTACGTCTGCTAACCTTGGGTTAGCAGTTCAAATCCACCAGGTGCTCCTTGGAAACTTTCTGGGGAAGTTCTACTCTGCCCTGTAGGGTCGCTTTGAGTTGGCATCGACTCAACAGCAATGAGGTTTTTTTTTTTTTTTAAATACATTCTAGGTACCCCGTCACTCAGTACATTGAGAGTTATGAAGATGATAAAGAGGTGGGCGCTGTGCTTTAAGAGTTTATGTTGTCCTAAGGGAACATATCAGGTACACAATTGCTTATAATAAAGGCATGAAAACATTAAGTGCCAAAGGAAAGTTACATAGTAAAAGGAAGGCTCACAGAGAGATTTTGGCTGAAGAAACAAGGAAAGCCTTTATGGCAGAGATGCTGTTTCAGAGAGGGCTTGGAGGGTCACTAGAGATGCTGGTTCAGAGAGGGCTTGGAGGGTCGCTAGAGATGCTGGTTCAGAGAGGGCTTGGAGGGTCGCTAGAGATGCTGGTTCAGAGAGG